GAGGACTAACCGGTAACATTAGAAGTATCCTAGGATGACGTACCTGAGTCTAAATTGACTCTACACGGAAGTGACTTAACCGACCCTAGGAGTGACTAAACCATGACCTAAGGAAAGAGACCAAATCCTAGAGGACTTAATCCTAGGTATATTTCTACCTAGTCAGACCTAATGATCTCTAAACTCAGCCTATAAGACTTACCCTGGGTATATTTCTACCTAGCCGTGCTTGATACACTCTAACCCTAGTCTATCGGTCCTAAACCTAGGTATGTCTCTACCTAATCAGACCTACTAGACTAAGAGAACACAACCTAATGGGACTTAACCTAGGTACTCCAACCTAAACCGATCTAACGGACTCTATCCCAAGCCTAACACAGACTCCAACCTAGGCACACCTTACCTAAACGGATCTAATAGACTTTAGACTAGACCTGATTTGACTTAACACAAGGTATATTTCTACCTAACTGACCTCTTAGACTCTCGCACAAACCTGATTGGACTTACCCTAGGTATATTTTACCTAACCGACCTATTAGACTCAAAACACAGCATATCTTAAAACCTGATTACGTCTAACCAGACCTAACTTAAGGCTAATCTGACCTGATTACGTCTAATCAGACCTACACCGTCGAGTCTACATGGCCCCCAACAAAGTCCTAACTAGTCCTACGATCCCGAGTCTACCTAATCCCTCACAAAGTCCTAATCAGACCTAACTCAAGTGCTATCTAGACCTCTAGCATCCCTAGTTAAACAACCAAAAGCCCAAACTAGACCAGAAAACCTAATCAGACCTAAGTCAATCCTAATTGACCTAATAATCCCTGATTAGTTACCCTAAGTCCTAGTCAACTACCTAAAAGTCCTAATCAACAAACCTAAGCCAACCCTATTGACTTACCAACCCCTGATTAGACTTTTAGCACCCTAATCAGACCTGAACTAAGCATAATTGACCTAATAAATGCCTAGAACCATCGCCTACAGACCTGTCCTGATCTAAACCAACCCCTACAGACCTATACCTAGTGATTCTAGACTTAACCAACTCCTAAACCAACCCGTTTTAGCCAAATCCCAACTAATCAGACCTAACCGGTCAAAGTACCAGACTCTATGACTCAAAACAGACATCCAGAAGTCCTATCTAGTCCTAAGCTAGATAATCCCTAAGTCTACAATCAGATTCTAATCTGATCAGACCCAGATAATGTGTCTATAGACATTCTAAACCTCTAATCAGACCTAACCAAGCCTATTTTGACTTAATTACCTACTGATCAGACCTAGATAAGCTAGACAAACCCAAATTTGACTTGAATCAGACCTAACCAAGACCCAAATAGCCCTTACAGATCTATACCGATCTAAACCAGTCAATTTCAGACCTATACCAGCCTATTTAAGTCTAACCTAATCTTCTACCCAGCTAAATAAAGTCAAATCCAACCTATTCAGACCTATACTGAACAGAAAACCGGAATCTATGATCCACATTAGCTAAATCGAGATCTATAATAGGTCTAATCCTAGTGTATTTCACTAAACAAAGCCAAATTGGGTACTAATCCGACCTAACAGGGTAAACTGATCATTACATACCCTAACATACCCTAAACCAGTCCACTATGCCCTAAACCAGACACCATCAGACCTATTTTGGACTAACCTAACCCTAAACCAGTTAGTTCTAGTCCTAATTGTACACTACAGACCCTAAACCGATCTAATCTAGTCCTAAACCACGAATTCAGACCCTAATCCGATCAATACTAGTCTTATACAGATAAACCAGACCTAAATCAGACCTATTTCAGCCTATACTGATCTAGATTTACCTAAATCGAACCCAATTGATCTAGACCCGGATAATTCTAGCCCTACCGGATAAATCAAACTTATATCAGACCTATACCTAGTCTAAACCAGCCTCAATTGACCTCTATCGGACTTAATTAGCCTAAACCGGTCTGAGTTAGACAGAACCGAACAAATCAGACCATTAATCAGACCTAAACCGGTCAGAACCGGTCTGATTTGACATAAATTGACCTAGATTGACCTAAACCGGACTCAATTGACCTAAATCAGACTTGGACTGGCCTAAACCGGACTCAATTGACCTAAACCGGACTTGGACTAACCCGAATCGGTCTGAACCGGTCCAATTGACCTGAATTGGTCCGGTTTGACCTAACCGGTCAACTGTTGACCAATTGTGGTCAACGATTTGACCTGAACGACCTAAATCGGTACGATTTTAAATCAAACCAGGTTTAGTTACTCAATCGGATTTAAACCGGCTAAACCGGTCTAAACCGAAAATCCTAATTTCGGAAACGTGAGCCGCCGAGTTAACTCGGTCGTTGACTCATACCTAGAAGATCAGGAGAAAAAGAAGCTTAAAGAAGCCTCGACTTCTGGTATCTTCGTTATAGAGGCTAACTTGTTTATTTCTACATCGTGGATATTAGATACTGGATGTGTCTTGCACATTTGTGGAAATGTGCAAGAGTTGCGAGGAAGTAGACAACTGGCGAAGGGAGAAGTAGATCTCCGCGTTGGGAATGGAGCAAAAGTTGTTGCATTAGCCATCGGGACTTATGATCTAACTTTACCTTCTGGCCTTGTATTGGAGCTGTATGATTGTTATTTTGTTCCTGCTATCAGTAAGAACAGTATATCGATTTCATGCTTAGACTCGGATGATTTCAGATTTGTTATTGAGAACAAAGGTCTGTCCATTTATAGAGGTGATTTATTCTATGGTAAGGGTTACCGGTTTAATGGCCTTTATATTTTGGATAACGAACCATCTAGATACAAGTCAATCTATAACGTTTGTACCAAGCGATTTAAGCCGAACGACTTAAACCCGACCTATCTCTGGCATTGTCGACTTGGTCACATCAATGAGAAACGCGTAGCGAAGTTTCATTCTGATGGACTTCTTGATTCTTTTGATTATGAATCAATCGAATCGTGCGATTCTTGTTTGATGGGCAAAATGACAAAATATCTTTTTTCTAGAAAATGAGAACGGACTACAGAGTTGCTAGAACTCATACATAGTGATGTATGCGGTCCTATGAGCTCGCCCGCTAGAGAAGGTTATCTGTATTTCGTGATTTCACTACAATTATATAACTACGACTACGATCAGATAATTACGATCGTGATTTCACTACGACCATATAACTACGACTACGATCAGATAATTGCGACCGTGATTTTACTACGACTACGACCAGATAACTACGACTACGATCGGATAAGTGTTTTTCCATGTATGTGGAGGAAAATGAAATTCATGCAAGTGTTTTTTATGTAACAATCTATCTTTTAGAAATCGGAACGTTTTGCTATTTGATCTTATTTTTTCTCCAACATTTTCTCTATCTCCTCTATTTCTTACAATTTATCTAATATATTCAAATACTATTCTGGTTGATTTCTTTTTCTGTGATATTCTGATCATTTTTTTGTATGCAAATAAGGTATTTGATGAAATGTTTGTAAAAGAAAACTGTAGAAGATGACTTGCCGTCTGTGAAAAATGACCTACGCTCTGCGGTAAATGACCTACAGCCTACGGCAGATGACCTACGGTTTGGTAAATGACCAGCGGCCCGTGGCAGGTCATCTTCGGCACCTACGGCTTGCGGTAGGTCACCTATGGTACATGTCTCACCTGCTAACCTGCAAGTGTTTTTTCACGAAACTCATGTAAGTGTTTTTTTATACTTATATAAGAAAACAAAATCTGTATAAGTTTTTTTCATGTATGTGGAGGAAAACAAAATTCGTGCAAGTGTTTTTTTATAAATGGAGAAAATCTATAGGTTATAATAATATAGAAGGGTATGATGGTCATTTTAACTTAAAAAAGTATAGAATACAAAGATTACAATAGTAGAAGTATAGAATGCAAATACATTTTTTTGTACATTTATACAAATTTTTCCAGATATTTTTATAACACCGTCGTAGGTGATTTGACCGTCTTTCTTCTTTCCTTTCCTTGTACATCACTCCATCTTAATTCAATTTAACTTCATTAAATATGGTCAGGTTTAGGGTTTAGAAACATATACAATTTATAGAAAAATCCCCACGTTTACAGCCATTGTAAACTCTAAATATGACACTCTATTTCATATAAGATGACTGGGAAAATACAAATTAAAATATGCACCATAATAATAATAATAATAATAATAATAATAATAATAATAATAATAATAATAATAATAAGAAAAGAAGAAAAAGAAGAAAAAGAAGAAGAAGGAAGATTCACATATTAAATATTGAACTTTAACCAAATAATAAGAACTTTAAGATGATTGGGTTTTTTGGATTATCCCTTAGATATATGTTAAAATTTGAAAAGTTTGGTTTTTATTTGTCAGTTTAAATATAATTGAGTATTTAATTTAGAAATGAGATAGTTGAGTATTTAATTTGGAAATTTGGTTAAAGTTCAATATTTTATGTGAATCTCCCTAATAATAATAATAATAATAATAAAAGTAAATGTTATTAATGAAGAGTCATTTTAGAGCGGCTGATGTTAGTCAAGTTTTACGCTTAATTAACATGCACCAAAATAATAAATATGACCCTAAACCCTTCATTCAAATCCCTGTGACACCTATTATTCGCAACACATTATGCTGTTGTTTTTGGATATAACAGAAACTTTTTAGCAAGATCGATCTGATCCAATTAAATCCGTAACTAACGTATAATCTTATGATCTCTACACATTAAAATATACATCTTAGCTCTATAAAGGTAGTTAATGTATGCCCAGAATTTGACAAGTCTTAAATTGTTCAATATTTCCATGATGTTAAATGGACAAAATGAAACATACCCAATAGCCACGCGTCCAACCATCACGCTTGAACCTCAGAAAGATTTTGAAATTTATTTTGTATGGGAGACCCCAGGAAAAGAAAGAGTTGTATAAATACAAGACCCCTAACCCCCCACTTTCCATTCCTCTACCTTCTAATCTTTCTTCTCTTTTACATTTTGGTCACCACCAAAATCCTCTCTTGTTATAAGGCTTCGAGACCAAAAAAAAAAAACAATTGTACATCCTCAATCATAATAATGTGCAGTTCGGAGGATAAAGTGGCCACAATGGCCAAATTCAACGGGAGACCTGTTCTTCAGGCAAGTGGGGGATCAAACTGTGTAAAGAAGTTGACAGCGCCGACGCCACCAAAGAGCATAAAAGCCTTGGAGCGCAAGAAATCAAAGAGCTTCAAGGAAGAGACGAGGGAGAGGTCGTCGCCGGGAAGCATAGCGGCGGTGAGGAGGGAGCAGGTGGCGCAGGAGCAGGCCCTCCGCAAGATGAAGATCGCTCACTATGGCAGATCTAAGTCTGCCAAGTTTGAGGCCAAAGTTGTTCCTCTTCTTGACCCTTTTCCCGATCATAAGGATGACAAGAGATACTGCAGTTTCATCACCCCTAATTCAGGTTCGTAATTTTAAGGTGGAAGGGCTGCTTTCAAACATGAATTCAGAATTCCTGGCTGACTGATGATGCTTGCAGATCCCATTTATGTTGCCTATCATGATGAAGAATGGGGAGTCCCAGTTCATGATGACAAGTCCGTTTCCTTCTCTTTACAAACAAGAAGAAGAATTCTTGAAAGCGTAATATTATTAAATTCCTCTGTTTCTAATGGCATGAATGAATATTTGGTGTTCCAGGACGTTGTTCGAGTTACTTGTGCTCAGTGGTACACAAGTAGGCTCTGATTGGACCTCAATCTTGAGGAAACGCCAAGATTTCAGGTAAAATTTTTTAAAAAAAAGAAAAAGAATATGATAGCCCAAAGCCAAAAGGCATTAACAGGTTGAATCTGCGCTGGTCTGTACATAGGAATGCGTTCTTGGAGTTCGACGCAGAAGAGGTGGCGAAACTAACCGATAAGCAGATGAGTGCGATTAGCTTCGATTACAAGATCGACATGAGCAGAGTCAGAGGGGTCGTGGACAATGCTAACAAGATCCTGGAGGTAAGTTCCTTTTTCTTTGTAGCTCCAGTTAAGCTTAAACCGGGCGAGAAGTGATTGTTGCTCAACTTGGGGGCAGATAAGGAAAGAGTTCGGATCACTGGACAAGTACGTATGGGCGTTTGTGAACCACAAGCCCATTTCCACCAGCTACAAGTTCGGGCACAAGATCCCGGTGAAGACATCCAAGTCGGAGAGCATAAGCAGAGACATGGTGCGAAGGGGTTTCCGGTTTGTGGGACCCACCGTGGTCCACTCCTTCATGCAAGCCGCCGGTCTGACCAACGACCACTTGATAACGTGCCACAGGCACCTCCCCTGCACCCTCCTCCCCACTAACATTTCTTTTTTGGTGTGACGTCCTCGAGCGGTTTGTGTGTGATTTTAAATTAATTATTAATGTAACAGTGTAAGATAAAGAAGTGGGTTTTACTGGAGTATTTTTTTTTTAAAAAAAAAAAGAGTGAAGGCAAAAGAATAAGAAGTGGTGGGAGGGAGACAGAGGGCATGTGTTGGGTGTCAGCAGCTGCATGTGAGCCATCTCACCCTTTCCCAATGATTCTTCTTCTTTACCTTTGCGTGCATGGGACCTCCCTCCATCATCATCATCATCATATAATATTATTATTCATTTGGATTGTGTTTTATTAATGTATGCACATCTTAGCTGTTGGTTTTTCTTCTTGAAATCTCAAAAGGGTGTTGTTTATAGATATGATTGATTGATCCTGCCATGTGCTTTGCTTCTCTGTAATGCTTGTTATTACCAACTACAAATTCTTGAGAAAGATAGTTTGACTGTTATCGATCGCCTCTTCAGCATTTTTTTTATATATGATATGAATCAAATAACAGCAAGAAGGAGAGCGTTTAAACTAGAACGCCTTGTTATAGCAAATCGATCAGTAGAAACATACGGTTAGATTCTCTCTATATATACGCTCTCTCTCTTTTCTTTCTTTCGACGTCACGTTGATTATAAAAACATGGAACTCGTATCACCTTTACCCTTTCTTTTACATATTCTAAAATTCTGAAAACATAAACACACGAACCCCTTATCGAACTCAAAACTCACTCGAGCGAATTTAAAACCACATTATATTTTGAATTTGTAATATTAAAGTTATGTAGATGATTGTTAAAAAGACAAAAAGTTATGTAGATGAGAAGGCCAGGGTGAAACCAATGATGGGTGGAGCCCCACATTGAAGCAGCGACAGCGATGTTCTTCACTACAAAGTAGTGTCTTGGAATCACAGGCTTATGGGATGGGCCTTCGTTCTGGTTTTGAATAATTGGGCGGCCGATGTGAAAGGCCCATTCCTATACATCAACAAGTCAATAAAACAAATGGCCCAACGCCTTCCTTCTGGTTTTAAAATGGAACGTCACCCGAGGCACCACTCTCTCCTCGAACCCTCCGGGGTTTCCATCGGCACTCCCTCCTTTTTCACTCTCCTTTGATACAGAAAGTGGCGTAGATTTTTTATTATTCAATATAAAATATTATATTATTTATAAGTAAAAAATATCGTAAGACATATTATTTAATTAATATAAATATATAAAATATAGAAATAATATCAAATCTAAATATTATGATAATATTTTAAAATATTTTTCATATCATGTATTCTCTACATCTTTTGATATCTTAAATCTCTATATATAAAGTTGAAATCCAGGTACGAGATATACTCAAGCAGCGGGGATTTTGGGACACAAAGGCAACAACTCATCATCTTGGAATCTCAGGAAATTATTGTCGATGAGGGAAACAGCACGTTCCTTCATCAAAATACAGGTACGGGATGGACAATCAGCTCAGTTCTGACTTGATGACTGGACAACACATGGATCATTGATTGACCATATAGGAGAGCTTGGGCCGAGACTGTTACGGTTGTCGAAGCACGCAAAAGTAGCAGAGGCGGTCAAGAATGGTGGTTGGTCACTTCCGGCGGCTAGAACAGAAACAATCCAACAGCTTCTGTTCTCGTTGACGAATACTGACCCGCCAAGACCGGAACTCGGAGAAGATATGGTACTATGGAAGCAAGACACTGGCGAATTCAAGCACAACTTCTCAACCTCGAAAACTTGGAACCTGATCCGTGCGAACAATCCCACGGTCTCGTGGCATCGTATGGTCTGGTTCCGAGAGGTTGGCTAAGGCAGGTTATGATGCAACGTTCGCCGACAAAGGACCGTTTGAGGAGATGGGGGCTCCAAACAGATGCTACTTGTATACTATGCGGGCTTGAGGAGGAGATGCATCAACACCTCTTCTTTGACTGCACCTACAACAATGATGTGTGGACATACTATGCCTCATGTTGCTGGGATTCTCCACCGAGTTCACTGCAGGATTGCATTAATTGGACTGCAGCAACGGGCAACGATGACGGGAAGAGCAGGGTGACAATCTCCAGACTCATCCTGCAGGCCACAGTGTACCTTCTTTGGAGTGAACGTAACAACCGAATCTTCCGGAACGACCCTAAAACGTCACATGTTCTGCAACAACAACTCGACAGCATGATGAAAACCAATCTCCTTTCGGTGAAGGGCAGGACAGGATCAACAAGCAACATGCTTCTGGAACACTGGTACTTTTTGACGGAACGAACTAGAAGGCGATAACGCAACACGACTAAAGAAGTAGGCAACTGACTGCCAATTATTTTGACCACTTGCATATGGGATTTCTTGTATTAGCTTGCTCAATGATTACTCAATACGGGGCTGTTTTGTAAGAATTTTTGAACTATACGGATTAATACTAAATCACATTTAACCAAAAAAAAAAGTTGAAATCCGAAAGGAGCTACCTGCCAAGATGGTGAGATTGGTCCCCCAATCCAGTCATGTCCTATATGTGCAATCGAACATATGGTGTGGGATCCTAAAACTGTATCCCACTTATGTTTCGAAGTTTTTGTATCACACCGATCTCATCCCATTAGAAAACTAATTTAAGGTCTATTATATTAAAAATATATACATAGGCTATACAAAAACTTCAAATTTTCTCGAAATTACAATCTAGTGCCAATAATTTGTTAATGTTTTAAAATTAATTTAATATCTTCTCGTAGCAGAATTTTTGTACTAAGTATATATTGTTGGAAATTATTTTATTTATTAATTTCTATAATGTAGGAAGTTTATTAACTTCCGTAAATAACTTACCCATTATGGTGATGGTCCAATATTTACTCCATGTTCTGCTAACTGTCTTTGATAACCACTTGATAACTGAAATCTTTTTTGATGGGAAAAAGACTATAAAGATCACGTATGGTATTGAGGTCCCTAAGCCAAGCAAACTTTCAGAATATACACCATCGTTATTGTGTTGCTCATGGTTTAGAAGCACCAAAATATTCAGATTTCAACTCAATTTCAATGGCTGGAGGTATGTTTTTCCGATCCAGAATTTTATTTCCGCATTCATGATCTTGTATGTTAAAGTGTTGCATATTGAAGATCGTGATTTAGATGAGTTTAAAGAATTTTAAACTTACATTTGGTATCAGAGCCGCAGTTATCCTCTGCCTTGAAAAATTATATTGTTCATGAAATCTGATAGATTAAATAGTACATTTTAATGCATCTATTATGGTTTTAAAGAAAAAAAAAATCATGTATTCCATTTCGTTAAGGAATATTTCGTTTTATGATGCATTAATCATTTTTCATCCAAATTTATGAACCTGTAAAATAGTGGATGAAATCTTCTGATCTTTTCTGTGCTAGATCATTTAGAAATTTCTGTAAAAATACCCATGATATATATATATATATAATATCTTGGTGGTTGTTCGAAGTAGATCTGTGGTATTTGTCTTCGTTTCTGTGATTCGGCGACGTATGATTATGTTCTTGGATTTGCTATCTATAGCGACATTTATGAAGCGACCTTGGTGATGACCGTTAGTCATGGTCACCACCGGAGTCATCATTGTCGTTAAAGAAAAAAAAAAAAGGGTTAGAGAACAGAGAAAGAGTCGCCGCTGACTGGAAAAATGAATCTCAGAAGATAACGAAGACAAAGGCTAGGGTTCCTGATTTATTAAAAAAAAAAAAAAAAAAAAAAAAAAAAAATAATTAATTGATGAGAATGGATCTCAATTGGGCTTGAACTTGGGCCATGGCTTAGATTAGTTAGAACAACCACTAGGCCGAAGTATTTGAGTATCTTTATTACATTTTTATATATTTAGATTCGTAAATGAATAAATAAGGGAAAAGAGTATGGGGTCAGGTTCGAACCCAGAACCTTGGCTTAGTGTATGGGAAGGCACAGCCACTGGGCTAAGCCTGTTTCTCGATATTATCTTGTCTTTATTTAATATATGTCTTGTGATTCGTATAATTTATTCAAATTAGAGAAAAGCCACAGCATCTCTAATTAGAATAAAATTATACATAAATTTTGTTATTGGATCACATTTAGTTAAAGACATTGATTGTAATTAATCACATTGATATAATGAAATTTATCCCACAGGAAATTTTATTATATTTATGTAATTAATTAGGGTGAAAAGTCGATTATGTTTCTTGATTTACCCACAGGGATTGAGAAATGAATATAATCTGATGGTTTCATCATTAAACTAAATGAATCTATTTGAATTAGAAACTTAGCCCACAGGTAGTTTTTATGTCATATGATTCATATTGTTGATGTTTTTACATTGGTAAAACGTCACATAAAGTTGCCTTAATTTTGTTAACATAAGCATGTATATTGATCTGTTTTGTGCAGTTTTTCAACCTGTGAATGTCTCTGACATGAAATGCGATATTCCCGAGCTCAAAGGGGATAACTATAAGGTGTGGAAGGAAAGAATCCTGCTTCATTTGGGGTGGATGGACATTGACTATGCTATTCAGAAAGACGAACCACCTCCGATTACTGAGGAGAGTGCGCCTGAAGAGATTGAACTTTATGAAAGGTGGGAGCGATCTAATCGCCTCAGCGTTATGTTCATAAAGACAAACATCTCGTCTGGCATTCGGGGTTCGGTCGAGCAGTATGACAATGTCCGTATGCTACTGAAGGCTATTGATGAACAATTTGAGTCTTCAGATAAGGCGTTGGCGAGCACCCTGATTATGAAGTTTTCCACTTTGAGGCTCACCAGTACCAAAGGAGTGCGTGATCACATCATGCAAATGAGGGATTTAGCGGCCCAACTCAAAACACTTGAGGTTACCATGTCTGACTCTTTCCTTGTGCATTACATTTTGAACTCACACATCAAAGAAAGGTGCAAAGAGGAGTTCAGATCTATTAGAGATCATACATACAGATATATGTTGTCCAGACATGGATGCATATCGACAGAAATATTTCATCACTTTCATAGATGATTACTCGCGATACATGTATCTCTACATTCTTGATAACAAGAGTGAAGCACTAGATGCTTTTAAACTCTATAAGGCAGAAGTAGAGAAACAATGCGGTAAGCAAATAAAGATCGTGAGATCAGACAGGGGTGGTGAATATTATGGTAGATACACTGAAAGTGGACAAGCACCCGGTCCTTTTGCGAAGTTTCTTGCTGAACATGGGATTGTTGCCCAATATACCACACCTGGTTCTCCGAGTCAGAATGGTGTAGCAGAAAGGAGAAACCGAACATTATTGGACATGGTGCGGAGTATGTTATCATACTCAAAACTTCCTAAGTCCTTGTGGAATGAAGCTCTTAAAACGGCAGTGTACATATTAAACCGAGTTCCAACCAAGGCTGTCTCAAAGACACCTTTCGAGTTGTTTAAAGGTT